TGCTCAGTCACTGATGCAACTGCGATCTCTGCAGCAGGAGGGGTAAGGACATCAAGCAGAAAACTGTTATTCTTCAGGGTAACGGCCCTTACACTCTTGTCCATCATGGAAGACCCACCTGGTGACAACAAATCTGAGACATGGAACTGCCTACTAGACCCAACAAAAATGCTAACCTTAACCAGTGATCTTCAAATCAAAAGGCCATCATGGGCTCAACCACACACACTGACCCTGCAGATGTGAAGAGCTGAAGGGATGTGGCCAGAGCTCAAGACTGTATACTCAGAATTCTGGATCCTCACAAACAGTCTTGTTCAGCAGACACCCCCAACCCCACCCGACAACTTAAACCACTCCCCAGTCTCTAAACAGTCAACACACAAAAACCCATGTGGGAGAAGATTCTCCACAGCTGGAATAAAGGCAATGGATCCCTTCAAGTCCATACCAGAACTCCAAGAAAGAGAGTGTATTGTGTACACCTGGAACTACCTTTATCTGTGTATGTGATCAAAAAGACCCTTGGTTTACATCCTGGGCTCTGATTTGGAAATTATCGTTGTCATGGGCACCCATCCAAACAGTCTGTGCCCGAGGTTCCTCATCTAAACATGGGGCTAGAATTCTCTGCTACTAAGAGAAAGAGCGACACTTGGTACATTAGAAGCACCACAGAGTTAACTATACATGACTTTTCAGCTACTTAGAAGGATGCCTGATACACCGGCAGCCTGTCAATATGTTTTAAAAGTTTAATATATATTTTGGAATGAACAAATGTATTAATATGTGAATACATTTCATAATGTTATGTGAAATGTGATAAATGAATACTGATGATATCCTCAGGAAATGTGACTATTAATATTTTAAAAGTTAAGAAAGATGTCATTTTAGTTCATATAAATACAAAAAACAAAGTACAAGGTTTTTATTTTGTTTTTAGAAAAACACACTGTATTCATATATTAGATCTGAACACTAGATTCAGTGTTATCTACTGATGGGACACCAAGTGAGTTGTTTACCAAATGCCTGTGGAGATTGTCACCAGCCCATTCACAGGCTAACTGTCATGGGGAAAAGAGAGCATTTTACTATCCATTTTGCAAACAACTAATAATAACAATAATTTTTAAAATCCAAGATTTCTTGACAGATGCAGTCAGGAGAAGGAGATCTGGGAAACTGTTTCTGTCGTGTGGTTTACTAGACGGAGTATTCAAGTCTGTTTCTGTGAATTTGGAAACTGAAAATAAAAATGGCAATTCTCATTCACTTTACAAGGACATGGCTGGGAGTTATCTTTTCTCCAGGTAAAAATGAAACAGAAAGCAATCCCAAGGTCTGAAATACTGGGATGAGTGCAGATGTGATGGAGGAGGAGAGGCTTAAGCACTCCAGGAAGCAGACTGAGATAAAATCAGGGCCATCTGACCTCAACATCTCTAGAAAGAAACATTAATTAGGCAGAAATAAGAATTGTCTTTTTCTTATGGTACCTTTAACAAAATAATTTGTCCTTGTAGCAATGTATATATTCATCTAATGTTTGATTGGATTCAGTATCTAAAACTCTAGGGAAAACAAGCAACCAATTTAATGTTTTATTGTAAATCAAAATATTTACTTTTATAATTCCCAATTTACATCCTAAATCCATAACCCTCGAAAGTTTCATGACAACAGGCTTTTCTGTTCCAGAATCAGACTGTTTTCTTCTATGTAGTTGCCATTCAGAACGCAACAGCCGACCTATCTAACCACAGCCACTGAAAAATGCAAAGGCAACAACAAAGCATCCAATCTCAGATCTATAATGAGCTAAGCATTTTTAACATCCTAGAACATTTTACAAAAATAAACAAGCACGTGATACAGAGAACTTAATAAACACATGTCACTCTGCTTCGACAGATTATGGTAGGAAAGTACTAACAGATAGAAAGGCATGAGCTATGAATCAAGCCACATACTACTTACGGAATCCCTCTGCAGCTGGAGAAACCCTTAGAAATATTAGCAGAGTAAACACTGTTGTATCAAAACCTAAGCACCCATTGAAAGAATCATCACCTATTTTTAAACGTACCATTGGGCAAGGACACGGATAGAGCAAATCAGGACTCAGATCAGTCATTAACCAGCACCTTTAGTTTAATCTATAGGAGCTCCCACATTGTCAAAGGGTTCTAAGAACCCAGGATCAACTGGACATTTGCTTAGCTTCTAGTATCAGCTGATCCTCCTGGGAGTGCCTGAGTCAGGGCCTGCTCCCCAGGCAAGTTCTAGTAAGACCGAATCCTGATCCCTTCCACCCTCTCTCTCCCAGCAATAGAATTTCAACCTAACATGTTATTTAGGGATCCTGTATCCATTCTTGTTACTGAAATATTTTAATATATTAAAACAAAACCCTTCACTATTTAACAAAACTTTTTAACATATTTAACAAAACCTTTAAAGTCCATAGCGACATATTCCTATTAAATAATGTGCTAAATGTTCTCATGAAAATGAATCAGAAATTGCATGGAGAAGCAGGGTGAAGCACCACTGGGCATCAGGCTGCTTTCTGTACATGAACAGTATTAATCGGCTAGGCATTTTCCAACACAGTATTTCTATCACCAATCTCAAATACAAAAGGAAGAGCAGTTTTGACAAGCTCAGTATATACTTTGGGTGTAGGTGTTAGGAAGTCTTTATCAGTCATCTTTCCTACCTTCACCATGAAACCAAAAGGGAAGGAGCTACTCACGCAAACATTCTGAGTATCGAAATCATGGGCTCATGCTGGAGAAACCAAAGATGATGTTACAGTGCATTAAAAACTTCATTTGGAGTTCAGTCTTTCCGAACACTAATTTTCAGTATCTGTTACTTCTGCTAACATGTGCACAATTACTTCCAATGATATTTTTAGAAAGGGAAGATTGCCACTATAGCTTAGGTTGCAATTTCAGCCGAGGTCAGTCACTTAGCTATGGTGATGGGGTCCTCTTCTGAAGACCTCACTTTAGAAATTCATCAGTATGGAGCACACCTTTTATCCCAGAACTCAAGAGGCAGAGACAGGCAGATCTCTGTGAGTTCAAGGCTAGCCTGGTCTACAGAGAGAGTTGCAGGGTGGCTAAGGCTACATAACAGACACCCTGTCTCAAAAAAAAACCAAAATAAATAAATAAGAAAGAAAGAAAAGGAGAGAGAGGGAGAGGGAGAGGGAGAGAGAGAGAGAGAGAGAGAGAGAGAGAGAGAGAGAGAAAAGAAATCCACCAGTATACAGCTTCAAGACTAATCCTCGAATTTCCTCTTATCATTCTGCTTACTGTGATGACTGCCTATGCTCAATTCATTTCTCACAATGGCGTTAAGCAAATCCATAATTCATGTATAAGGTACAAGAGACGGAGTTTACTGGCTAAATGTGACTGTACAATAAATTCATGCACCAGATCCTCGTCCCCAGCTCACAGAGCAGACCTTTAGTCTTTTCTTGAGCTGACTTCCAAAATCAGAGGGACACTGGGTCACAGGCAGATACAGGATACTGCTACATGGGGTGTTCAGAAATCTGAGCAAAAACAACAACAACAACAAAATGGTTCATTCTAGGTCCTTCTCACAATTTTCAAATGCTAAGAACCAAGCAGTACGTCCTCTGGATTGTCTTCAAAGCCCGGTCCCAGAAGTCAGTCGCTCTGCTTCTGTATGCCACCAGGCTGACTTAACTGCTGCAAATTCACTTAACCAGAAACTAAAAGTGAACAAGACAGATAGTTGCTGATGGGATAAATGAACTGATTTTTTAAAAATTTGCTCTCAAATACAAAAAAAAATGAACATTTAATAAGAGAGAACAGGTGATCTGTGCTACAGCCTAATCTAGAATTGCTCCTTTCCTAAATTGCTAACATCAAGGCAGAGCTGGAGGCCTCTAATGGAGCAGGGCTGAATGCATGGGCTTCCCCTTCAGGTACCCAGGCATCCTCAGGCGCCCTGCACTACAAATACCTACTGCTTAGGGTCATAAAAAACAAGCCCTGAGACCAGTTTCACTCCAGAAACGTTCATGCAGAGCAGCACAAGATGACTGGCGACTAATATTCATAAGTACATCTTCAACTAGAATTAAAAGAAACTTTAAGCAAGCACCCCAACTAATACTATAACATAGAATGACTTTAACAATGCGAGGGTAGTGCACCCCACTCTGTGCTGACATAAGCCCAGTCTGAGCACAAAGGATGTTGGGTTTCATACTTGGCAAACCTAGAATCTTAGTTGTCCTCTACCAAAATCCATGCCAGAAAATGAAATGCAACAATAAGAAATCTGTCTCATTTCAAAATTCCCTAATGGTAAAATAAGCATCTCAAGAAAAAAAGATGTCCATTTTTAAATAGTGAACTAATTCTTCAAAATTGGTTATAAACTCCTAATGGACAGTAACTATGAACCTTTTGTTCCAGGCAAGAAATTTCTTATATTTATAATTAACATACATACATAATTTACAATTATTTCAGCAAACACTTTCTCATTTTATAATAGAGCAAACACCATGATTTTATATAGCCAGCATGCTGAAGTTATGAACAGTAACACTGACACCAGGTTACATCCATCCTCAACCAAAGCTGAGGTCTTACAACTGCACATAGCCTTAGAGAGGGTTCGGAGGACTCAGCAGTGGACCTAAAAATGAGCTGGCAGTGTGATGTCTTCTGCAGGACTAGTTTGGGTTTTTTGTTTGTTTCTGTTTTTGTTTTGTTTTGTTTTTTGACACAACCCCCGCCCCCCAGCCCCAAGGGAGAAAGGGCTTTAAAAACTCTGTTCAGAATGAATAAGGCAGGTTTATATACCAGTGGTCAAATCACTAAGCACTGTTAGCAAATTCTTGCTTCAGATACCAGTTGCTTGAAACCAGAGATCCCATCAGCCCTCGAGTGGTGGCTGCCCATGATGTCTTATTATTATGACACGCTAGTGAGTACCTGTGAAAGGGGGCACTCCTTGGCCAGCGAACTCTGATTCATATCTTTCAGTAAGTCCTTCAGAGCATTCCTTACTGTGGTGTGCGACCATTGTTCGGGAGGCAAGTCTTCTAGTTTGGGGCAACTATTTGAGACATAGATTAGAAAGGGGATTATTACAGGATTGCATCCTGCTGCAGAACATTCCTTTAAGACAGACAGATTTCATTTTGCGAATCAAACAGATGCATCTGGAGATTGCTCTCGGTCTCCTGATTGTTCCGATTAGTTAATTACTTTATACAACACATCTGCTGTATCGATGCATGAATTATACATCAGCTGCCTGTGGTGGCTATTTTTTCATGTTACTTCTACCTTCCTGCTCTGATGCGCTTGGGAAGACAATTTAAGGTGTACTGCTTTCTCGGAGCCACCAGGAAAAGCATTAACGTATTAACTGATTTCCCCCCACTACTCTGTTCACACGAATTAAAATGGCAAAAATACAGATATAAGTAAATAAGATCATGGCAAAGCGAATAAGGCATTCTTTCACAAAATGTACACAGATGGCACTGTTCATGATATGCAAAAATATTTTTTTCTTAAGTAAACTTTATGTAAAATGCCTTCTTGTAATGCATCATTTAATTGACTAAAAGTAAAAAGTCTTATCTTTTGAACGCATGTAAAAAATGCAGAAATTTCAAGAGAGGGAGATGATTTCAAAGTCATACATTGAAGCTGGAGAAAATAACAGAAGGGGTAAAGTTACCAAATTAATCTGGATTAGCATGTCTCAAACCCCCGAGTAAACAGAAACTGCAAGCTGGCTAGAGAAGCTTTATGTCCACACAGGCAGGCCGAGAATTTCCCTTGAACTGCTGCTGACTCACCTGTGTAACTGGATTTTGAGTGTGACCACATGATACACATCTTGAAGCATATCCGCTACCGTAGCGTCAGGGGCATCTGTCACATATGACAGTGGAACTGGGTTCCACTTCCCAACCTGGATGAGCCCTAATCCAGATAAAGAGGGACAAGCTTAGTGCTGGCTCTCAGACCCAGAGAAAGGTGGCTATGTTCTTCTGCACTGCCACCCCCACAAGCAATACTGTTATTTCTGTCTGAATGATTCCCTTTCCCTCAAAAAGGCAGGTCAATGAAGATATCCGCAGCACAGCTTTCCAAATTGTGAAATTATGTAAATGACTATAGGGGTTGTTTATTATTTTGGAAATAAATACCCATCAATTAAACCTATGCATCAGGCCATGTTGTCCTAACTTACAGGAAGTTCTAATAAGACATAGCTGAACCGGTTTTAAATGGCTTTATGATTTAGATAAGATTCCCTATTGCAGTGGGAATCAACATTGAAAAATACTTTACAGCCCATAAAACCATCAGAAACAGAATAAAAGAAACAGAACTAGATATTCAGTCATAGATGCAAATTGACTCTCAGCAGTCCATCTGCTCAAATACGCTCCTCACTTCCTCGTGGGTCCTCAGTGGAGCAGATTATTAAGGTCAATAAGCATACTAATGATTCAGCTGAAGTAATTTAAAAAAAAAATTTACCTCGACATTCCACATGAGCAAAATGTGTGTTAACTAAACCAAACTGAATTAAGCTAATTTTTAAAGCCACAGTCTATAAGGAACCAACATAAAGCATAGGCTGCAGCTCTCAGAATAAAATGTTCTCTGCTTTGTCTGAGAGGCAAACAGGAGCGCCAGCAACTTCCCAGCCCCAGGAGTGCACCATTTACCTTTGGCCTGGGCAGCAGAGCTGTGCGAATAGCCTAGAGACAGCAACGCCATCTCTATCAGCTGGTTGAAAAGCATATCCTTCCTCACCAACACAAATTCCGCGTGCTCCTCCTTGCAATCATACTCAATGGCGTTTTCATAATGTTCCACCACACAGAAAACTGGGAGCATGGTTCCTATCAAAAAGACAGCAAAAAAGACAGAAACCCGACAATCTTGAGAAACAGTCTGGAAGGGGGACACCTAAGCTATGAAAATAAATCGTTTGCACAGGGAGAGAAACAACAGAGCTCCCCAGGCAGACTGGGGAGAGACACAGGCACACAGACAAACACGCAGTTGCTCACTGTTTAAAAGTTGCAAAGGAAATGCTTCCATTTCCTTCACTTGAACTTGGTCCTACGGTAAGGCAGGCTCGCCTCTCGTTGTAACAGTTTATCTCCCAAGCAGTGAATGCACAATCACTGCTCTGACCAAACAATAATGCTGCCGAGAGACAACTAAGTGTCTGGTCTAATCTGCTGCAAGGGCCTTACAGCCCTTGTCTTCAGAGGGCCCACCTTCCTACTGTATACACGCTTCTTCTGCCAATAACAGCTTTCACTAGCTTGTGTCCAAATTATCTGACCATACAATCATTTCTCTGCCCTTTTCCGTATTTCCTCTAACTGGTTCCATAAAAGGAACACAAACCCTAACCAAATCAATCCTCACAGACACTATTTCAAGGCACGTAAAGTAGGAAACTTACACTTCTGTAACTACCTAACCCATCTACCTGAGGGAAAAGACATGACAGCAGCCTAAGTCTTAAACACTGACAGTGTCTGCCCAGGAAATATGATAAAGATGGCCGAGAGGGAGAGGAAAGCTGGCCTTCCTGAGAGGCATGAGCAGCAGACACCGATGGTCGAATGCGTCTCTGCTGCCTTCCTTCCATCCACTGCAGCAACTCAGTGGCCCAGGCCACACCACTGTTGGGAAAGAGGCTTGGTCTACAAGCTGGAAGCCATCTGCAGTGGCACTCAAGGTATTAGTGCAGTGCACTGTCAGATTTCCAACCGTTACAGAAAAGGGTTAAAAACAGATGCATCTGAACAGTACTGTGGCACACTGCCAGGAGGGCATCATCTTTAGCATAAATGATGACAAGGGTTACTTTAACAGGGCACCCAGGACCCCAATTAGTTCTACAGTATCCCTGCCTATATCGGCTCCATAGCCTGGACTCATGGACTCACAGATCCCTAACTTCTGAAGGTTTCAGTGCCTATCGACCGCTGCTGAGAACCAGCATTTCCCACTGCCAGAGAGACCCTTTACAAATTCTCTACTTGCTTGTTTCTGCTGAACAAAAGCCGGCCATAAAACAGCTACATCTTCCCACATGTGTGTCTTCACCAAAGCTCTGTGAACTGTTCACAAGAGATTCCAGCTCTGACAATTAAACCCCTTTAGGTTTACTCAGAAAAGCTCGCAAACTCATTCGGAAGTACCAGCAGGCTAGGCATGAAAAACAAGCCGTAGAGCTTGCCAATATTCTTGTCATTCATTCAGCTGTTTTATACCAGAGAGAGAACCCGTCAGGGATCAGAAGAGAACTTGGGGAGACCGCAGCAAAAATAGCAATATGCAAACTGGTGATTTCTTCCTTGGCTTGAAGGTATTTTGGCAAAATCTCTTAAACAAATAAAAACACCCCAGCCCTTTTTTTAGGGCTTTCTCAGCTTAGCCACAATTTTTATCTAGCACCTGTCAAACAGAAACCATGCACATAAAAAATAAGATTTAAAGAAAAAAAAAAACTACTGAAAGGCTTAGAATTTTTTTTGCTTTTTGTATTAAGCACAGAACCTTCCACAATTAAACTATATTTTTAAGATATGGAATTTTGAATGTAATACATTTTTTTTAAAGCATTTGAGCAGGAATGAGACAACCACGCTCTGGTTCCTTCTCTCTGTCACTGGTATCTGTTGGGTGAGCAAGCCAGAAACATGCATACTGGTTTCTATCTCATGGAATCAAACAGAGGTGTCGAACAGGGAGTAGCTTCTCAGACCTCAGCTCTATGAAATAACTGAAACCTTTTCAAACCACTGAAACAGCCTGGGTTGACTCTGTGTTTTATTGATCAAATTTAAAGGTGCCTTATAGATAATAAAGGTGGCTACAGATACGGTAGCAACAGGATCATCTAATTACAAACCTGGTGCTAGATCGTCTCGAGAACTGTCACGGTTGCCCTCCTGTTAAAGGGAGTAATATTAAACAGGAGCCTTCGCTGACTGTCTGATTATTCAAGCTGGTGTTTGGCCAGACTTCCAACTACAGCAACTTCCTAGCCCTCCAGCATTAGAAAGGGAGAGTACTGGTCACTGCTGAAAGTTAAAAATACCACATGATTTAAACCTGAAGGCAGTCTTAGAGGCTTCTGCTGGAGGTTTATGAGCCTGTGTAAACAGCACGGCTGCCATAAGGAGCAGTGGAGTCTGTAGAATCCTTGTCTAAAACTGTCCTGGCATTAAAGTTTGCTGTGCAAATATCACATAATACCAGAGACAGCTGAAATCTCCTATTTAGGAATTTATGGAACTTGTGTGTTTGCAGGCGTCAGAAAGTCTTTTTTATAGAGCCTCAGCGCTACACAGTACAATATTAATGCACTCTGTTTGAAAAGCCATAATAAATTATATTTTTAATGCTCTTACCCCGGCTTAAGGATGCATACATTCTTGGCAAACAATCAATAAATAGGGTAATCACGAGTAGAGGCCAAAGAATTTGCTGAGGTGCTGTTTTTCCATTTTTAATAGATAAAGATCTAACAATACGGACTGCTGTGTCTGTTTATTTCAGGATCAATATATTCTTTGTTTTCACCAAACCAAGGAAAAAAATAAATGATTGTATGGTAAATGTTATGCATCAAACACAATGAAATTCCTCAGCCCCCTAACTTTCTCTACTTAATATTCGGGGTTGGTAAAGATGGCATTTTTATTCTTTGCTCAGAAAAGCACACACAAAAAAAATCTGACTCCTATGTATTATTCAATGAAAAAATAAAGATAGCCCACAGAGCAACTGCCCTGTTGGGACAACACAGGCAAAGTTGTTAAAACTCCACCAATTTAATCTTGGTAGAAAATCACTTGTTTATTTTTCCCTTTATAAACTTGCCCAAATTTTCCTTTCCTTTACCAAAAATTCTCAAGTATAGAAGAAATTAACTAGAATCAGCAAGTTTTTCCACTGTTAAATAATTACTTTGCTCTTCAGAAAATAAACCACGATAAATTCCATCACAAATCTTTGCTCTCATGTCAGATCCATGTCCTGAAATCCCCTCACAGTTAGAATCCCAGGAAAAAAACCTGGGTGATTCTCGAGCAGACTCAGCGTTGTGCTCTCCATCAGCGTAAGTTCAACGAGCAGCCACCTGCACATCTGTAGCTGCAGAACTACCCACCTCTGTAAGGAGACTGCGGAAAGACCACGCAAAGACAAGCACTCACACTTTCAAAACATGATTGACACGACAGCCCAGGATGTCACTTAATTTTACATCAGAAAGATATCTAGGAAAAGACTATACACAGCATATTCCAGCCCCACACCTCCACGCAGGGTGGCCTTGGGCAGACACCAAACAGCTTTCCAGGATTCAGCTGGCAAGTATTTACCTTTTCTAAGGTTGGTTTTCATCAGATGGCCCGAGTGTTTCAAAGGCACTCCCTGCATCTTTGCACCTGTGCTCCCCAGCCTTCCTCTTCCTAGTGGGCTCCCGTTCTGCTCCAGGCGGGCAATCTTGGCTGGTGGACCCTTCGGATCGCTCACATTGTTAGACATTTCTGAATGCTCTTTCCCCTGAGTTGCCTCGTTCAAATGATCCATACTCAGTCACTGTCTTACAGATCACCTGGCAGAACTGGAAAAGAAGACGTTATCAGTGGGTGGAGGGCTGCAGTTATGCCTGCCCCATACACGTCTCATCCCTAGACATTTCCCTCCATACACACATTTGTGCAACTACGTAATGATCTACAAGGTTATGCTTCTATCTAAATTAACAAAATATTGTGGAATCTGTACCAATGTACGTGAATAAAACAGTAATTTCTCAGCTAAAACTATGAGGAAAATGGGCTTACTTTCAGAACAAGAATACCATAAGGAAAAAAGAAAATAACAAGTTATATTCATGTACTCTCAATTTTTAAAAAATTAAAAATTCATGACAGGCTATGACTATAATACTTCTAATGGAGGATGGAAAGACTACAGTGTGAAGCACCAAGCTCCCTAGGAGCTTACACTCTAACGTGCATTGCCATCGATGCTCCAAACGAGAACTTCAGCAGACACTGCAAACACCCAACACCACTTGCTTTATGAGCTAAAGCAGCGAGAAGTTTTCTGCTTGCTAAGTTTCAAGAGTTCCATGCCTGTTAAAGATCTCAAGCCACTGCACAATCACATGACTAGATCACTTCACCCCTAAGCACACAGGAAGGAGTGAGCGCTCTTTCAAATGTCCCGTGTCTTTTAGCAGGACAACTTGCCTTCTGGAGTTAATATTTAGGTGTCCATTGCTAACAGGGTGCTGTTAAATTAAATAGCAAAAACCCTGAAAATATTTTGTGATAGACCCAAAAAGTGGATTGTGAAGCTCGCTATAAAAATAACCCTAACAATACTGACCAAATACAATCTCCAGTATTAAAAAATCATCAGGATACAGGAAGTTAGGATCATCATAATCTCAGAGAAATGTCAATTTTTAGTTTTATTAAGTATTAGACTTCGATTTTGAATACTGCTTATAATAAAGCAACTGGTACAATATACCAAAGTTACTTCTAAATTATATTTTCTAATAGAGGTTGTTAAACAGAACAGGTAAGCACAATTATGTTATGAATTTTCATTAGCCTTGAAGTACTAGGGATATTTAGAAAAGCCAGAGAGAATCTGACAGCATTTTTTTCCAGCTGTCTAGCATTTTGAAATATCTTATATACTTTAAAAAATAATTACTATACTCAAAACTATTTGGACCTTGATCAGCTGAGAGATAGTTTATATTAGCATGACTTTTTGATAAATAGTTTTCTCTGATTTAGGTTTACCCTACTTCATCCTACAGAATCAAGAAAAGACGACAGGCATGTGATTGGAGGCTTTAAGCAACCTTAAGAATGTCAAACCAAGATCTACAAAGTTTGAGATACAATAACAGTTATTTATTTCTGTCCTCAAGGGTGGCACACTGAGGGCTAAAGGTTCACACCCTTGACCGAGGGCCCATCTGCTTTTGGCTATGAGGTTCGTTAACAATAAACGCATCTTTTTGAACCACTTTTTATCAAGCTCACTCTTTTCCATTCTATTAAACAGCAGTCTAAAGCCAGAATTAGAATGATGGTTATTAAGTTGTTCAAAACACTCTTTATGTTTATCTGGACCACAGTGTAACGCTGATTTCTCTAAAACTGATTGCCTTACCCTAAAGTAAAAGACGAATTTTAAAACTATGAATTGAACAGAAAAAATTTAACCCTTGTGGAAATGTGTGAGAAAAAAGTGGGAGGGGAATTCACAACAGCATCAAAGTTAATACAGAGTGCATTAGGTGGTCAGAGTGAGCAGCACCAGCTGAAGGGACTGCAATTTAAAGTCCTGACAGCCAAAACATCACACAAGTCATAAAACTGTTTTTTTGAAGAGCCACCTAAAGCATCTACTAGACACTAAGTTCTTTAAAAGGTTTGCATTATAAAGCAAAATTACATGCATATAAAACACCCAATTTAATACTCCTTTAAACTCTATGCTAAGGCCAAAGTTCGTCAAACCTGAGGCTGGAGGTGAATCCAGCAACTGCCAACAGGCCTGCCTGGACTACCTGTGCTCACAACCAAAGCCCATCTCGAGAGTTTGAGTTACATATTTTAAAAACCATTTTAGAGCAATGTATAGATGACACACTGAAAGAGGCTACTTTCCGCAAGTTCCATTTTCCTGTCCATAAACTAAGACCACAGAGGATCCTTCCTGAACAAGCTGATGAACTCCATCTCAGGAATTATTTCCTTTAAAAAGCAGGAAATAAAATCACGAAATTCTGATTTCAAAAGAGTATATATATTGTCCTTTTTTGTATCGTGGGATCTCTTTTCAAAGAGTTCCTCTTAGGGTCGTTTTCTTCCCGGCAGAACCCCAGAAGCACATTTTAAGAACCCGTGCCCTTATCCATTCCATATGGCCGGCCAGATCCAGGCCAAGCTTTCGCTGTGACCTTTTAAAGAGACAAAGAAACAAACTACTATCTAGCAACAGCAAAGCTGCAGTTTTACTGAGTGAAATTAGCAAAACCGACCTGAAACTCACCACTTCAAAACTTGACAGCACATAAATAACAAAACAAAGGAGATTTCCTTGGCAGCCCGGGTTCTTGAAGTGAAGTTCAAGACTGGTGTTTCCTATGTCCCTTTTTATTATTATTATTTACAAAAAAAAAAAAAAAAGGCAGTAGACCTGAAGGCGACTTCCCCTGAAATTGTATTATTTTTCTCTTCCCTTACCCCCGCCCCGCTAAGCGGGGGAAGGGCAAAAATAAACCGCCAGAAGCGTAGATATGGGGGGGGGGGGGGAGTAAAAAAAGTCACAATTCGAGAAACAGTATAGCTAGCTTGTAAAATGTCTAACCTCAGAGAACGGGGTTTGGAAGGGGAGGAGGGGAGAGTGGGAAGTAGGGAGGAGGGAGAAGGTAAAATTGATCTGACAAGTGATTCGTTGGGGGTGGGGGGGAGTCGTAAAAACAAAGCGGAACCCGTTAGGAGCCGTACACTGGTGGTACTGGGGAGGGAAAAAAAATCACTGCGGACAAGGACCTCAGAAAGGGTGGGGAGGGGGGGAAGGTACCCTTGCCCCCGCCTCCTTCTGAGCTCCTGGGATAGCGTGTAAAGTCGGCTTGGTGTCACCCTGCCAGGCTCGTCCGAGACCCCGGAGCGCCAGGGAAAGGCCACTTCGCTTTCTTCCCAACCGCCCCCTCCCCCTCCTCCACAATCGCTTCTACGATTAACAAACCTTAAACTTTTTCCCCACCGCCTCGCACCCCCACCGAGGGTATCTAGCAGGGGCCTGAGAGGGTGAGGGGTAGAGGGTCGCGCCAAGAGCCCCGGGAAGGCACTAGAAGGCCACTTGGGAGGCCGGCGTCGCCGACAACAGACCCGGGGACCCTCTCCCTGCCCATGGACGCGGAGACCCGGAGCGCCCGGGAGCACCGACGGGGAGGGAGGAGCAGGGGGGAGGGGGAGATCCGAGGGCAACCCCGCCGCCGCCTGGGCGGCCACTCGCTCCCCGCCCCCTCCCCCCAAAAGTCGCCAAGCTCTCACTCAGCCCGAGTCGGAGGTAAACAAGAAGCTCGACAATGGCAGTGGGACTTGGGGACGCAGCCGCCGCCCGGAGGCCCCCCAAAACTGATGCGGAGTTGCGCGGAGGGTGGTGGGTGCCCGACTGCAGGCGGGGTCCCCACGCGGGCAACGAGGCCGGTGTCGCCGGCGGCCCGGGAGAGGCGCGCGGGGGTCTGCGCGCGCCAGTCGGGCACCCACCACCCTCCGCGCAACTCCGCATCAGTTTCGGGGGGCCTCCGGGCGGCGGCTGCGTCCCCAAGTCCCAC